TACTACTACTACTACTTGTACTACTCCTACTACTCCTACCACGCCTACTACTTCTGCTTCTACTTCTGCTTCTACTTCTACTACTACTACTACTACTACTACTACTACTACTACTTCTACTTCTACTGCTGCTTCTACTGCGGCTACTGCCATTACTCCTACTGCTGCTGCTGCGCTGCTGCCGAAGTGTTAAGTGAAACATCTATCTATTCCGTGTAAGCTTGCTGGGATCATCTAGCGTTTTGTGGAAGGCGCGTTAGAACATCTAGAAAGCAGCAAAACAAACCAATCGGAGCTCGCTCCTGCAGCAGTCGTTGCAGCTCCATCTGAAGCACCATGCTGGCAGACATAGCCTCCTCATCCTTATGGCGTCTCGACAAAAATGGAGCTGCAAAGGCTTCCGGTTCTAGGGCTTCTGTGCCTTGCGAAAGGGATAACACAAAGCTAGGCTAACAATATCAGCTCTCCAACCACAGCGAACGTCTGGGATGAATCGATCGACGGCCTTCTCAAAAGCTTCCGATCACGACGGAGATGAATGTTTGATTTGGATCTACTATTGAAATTGGAACGACGGACTGATTTCCTGGTTCAGGCGAGCAGGCTGTAGGACAGAAGCGGGTTGAGAGAAATTCCGATACATGACCCAAGCCTTACATCAAGGCATCTTTTCTTCGCAACCATCGATGGGGCCTTACTTTGAGCAGTGTCGAAACCCAGCCACAGGGAAAGGAGAATGATTTGATGAAGTGACTGACCCCCCGTGCACGCATTGCGCGGCAGGATCAGAAAAATCAAGTGAGAGTCAAAAACGCAGCGTGAGTTGGACACCTGCTGAACCGATTGGCCGGTGGAATGCAAGTTGAGTTCACCTGACCTGCCCGCCGTGAAACTCAGCAAGCCGGGAGGGTGGCACAAGAACACTCGAATCCTCTCCGCAAAAGCGGCATTCGCCACTGCTCAAGTTCAACAAGCAAGTCCACGAGCAAACCCCCCGTTGTGCCCGGACATGAGCGCGTAAGGAAATTCCCACATCCTTTCGGAAGGAAATGTTGTATAACTGTAATGCCTTAGACTCGTGTTTGCTTCGGAAATGCTCGCAGGACTCAGCGAACCCATGCACCGAAGTGTGGCACCGCCAAGGCCCAAGCCTCCGTGTGCCCAATGACCAAGACCTCGAATTGCATCCCCGGATGAAGTTTGGTCAAGGTTTGCGGGTACAGCTCTGCCAAATAAGCGTCCCAAATTAAGCTTGCCAAGGCTTGTACTTCAGCACACTGCCTAACCTAGCCATTGGCAGTTCTGCACTCCCAAAGTGTTGTCAAGGCACAACTGTTCTAGCCACTGCTGCCAAGGAGCACGTGCACCTCCAGATGTGGATGCAGAATCGACAAAGCGACGACGCTTCATTTCCTCAGCAGCAGTATGCATATGCATAGGGTGGCTGCAGTTCTCTGTCTGCAAACCTGGAGGTCTTGCTTTCTTCGCATTACTTGCTGCTCGCCCCGCACTGGACTTCGTCACCTCGCCTAACGCCGGAATGAAGCAGCACAGTACAAGGCTAGGCCAACTAAATATCATCCAAGGTTCACTGCTAGTGATGACCCGAAGAATCGTAGCCTCTTGGTCCTGCAACAAAAGAAATTTAGGTAGGCGACTCCGAAAGTGCCCTGGCAACAAGACTGGTTGTGCTACGTTGCTCCAAAGTTCGTTTCCCAAGCTTCGACCCATCATCTCTGTCAGACTAATGCACTCATGCGTGGCTTTTGATAGCGTCGCACACTGTCGATCCTTTCGGCTGTCAAGTGGACACAGAAGGACTCCTCCATAGACCCGCGACGGTTGAGAGCAATGGAAGGGAGCGCATAGAGGTGCTCAATCATCGCATCGATCATGTCCTGCAATGTTCGCGGGTGCAATGCGCGGGCAGGGCCACATGAAAGCCTGGTCTGCTGTTGACTTCGGTACATGTCGTACGGAGGACCAAACGCATGACCTAGCAGACCTAGCATCAATGTCAAAGCCGCCAAACTAATCTCTTGCTGTGTTTTCAGTTTGGTATCTAAGTACAATATCTGGTAACCTCGATTCGACTGCTCTTCCGGGCCTGAGTTCTACTGAAGTGAAAGACCGAAGCCCAGCGAAGCTGAGCATGTCAGCATGGCATTTGTGTGTTTTCGATGATTGTAGCTGTATAAGAAACCATGGGTGGCCTCCTGGATGCCCACAGCCAAAAGGGGCTGGAAGTCGTCGGGGCTCCAGGCATTGACAAGCCTGGGCAGATCCATCTTTGACTGAACGTGAATCGTTCTGCTAGGCTGGAATGCCCCAACTCAATATCACCAGCCATCGTCTACGCACCCCAACACTGCTTTTTCCGATGCCGCTTGCATCCCGGTGCAAGTCAGGCGTACCTATGCTGTTGCGTTTCAAAAACGTGAGCGCTTCACATTGCTCGCAGCTCTGATCTCCAAGGAGCTGTGCAGCATTCACGGAAGAACTGAGTCCTCGATCCGCGCGAGCATTGCAAAAAGCTCGGTTCAAGCACGAGGGACTTACGTCGAGGAGATGCTTGACACATTGTAATTGAATTGACTTCAGCATGTATTACAGCAAGGTTTTCTGCGTGCTGCTAGTGGCAACTAGGACGGAAACCCAAACATGAGCGGAGCTTTGCGGGGCTTGGGGCTCTCCGATCCGGACTGTAGCTTTGATCGCATTGGGATCTCCTTGCGCTTTCGGGGCCTCCGGGCCTGCTTCTACGTCGAATGACTTTGACTCATCCCGAGGAAGCTGTCATCTTAGCCGAGCGTCTGTATCCATCGCAGGATATGGGTAGAAGAGGTACGCGATTGAAATGAGCCTGGGGCAATGCTCTAAGCTTCCAAGGCGCAACTCTTGGCTCTCAAGGCTTCAGCCAAGGCTTCGTGGCCAACGAACGATCCGCAGTGACAGCCTCTTTTGATCCTGCAAACAGCAAAACATCGCCTCGCCAAAATCAATTCCACTGCTAGGCCCTGACGTTGACCCGGGCCCTCGTTATCAATGCTGTGGGCGGTCCAAGCGCCGAAGACGATCCTGCCCCTGCCGAATCCCAAGCCCTGCAATTAAATCTCGTTTTCAGAGCCCGAGGAGCTGTAACAAGCTCCCCCACGCACCAAGGGCGGGAAATCCTCGGCACTGGCACTTTCTGATGCGTTTTCCGAATTGTCAACGGTGTGCCTTTAGGCAGCCTTTGGCGACACATGTCATCAGAACGCATCCTCACAGAAACCTTTTCAACCACGCGGCGTCCTAACAGCGAGAACGCAAGTCTCCAGTGGGTAAGACTCACTTTATCTGACAAGCGCACGGCAAAGGAGCTAGTATGTCTCAGATCGAGGAGAAGTGACAGAGCTGAACATTAAAAAAGCCACCAAGGACCAGCCCCAATTGCAAGCGAGCATCATCTGAGGCGTCAGCAGAGGCACCAAGAAAGCCACATTGCTGCGTACCTGCAGTACTGACCAAAAGGAGATATCACGCGATTCTCAGATTTCAGGTCTCCGGCACACTGAACCCAAGGATGAACCGTAAGGAACTAAAAGCTGCTGATTGCCGCACCGATGCCCAAGCCTTACTTCAAAGTTACCGTTTACGACATGCTTTCGAGACAGGAGCACTCGATTCCTAAGATCGGGCCGGCAGTAAAGCACGGACAATTCGGACCCTCGGTTCAGAAGGCTGGCCCGACGCCTCTCAATACTAGTACCGCTATTTAAAAGGTGTCCTCCTTATTTGCAAAGGCTGCTCCCCGGCTCCAGGTCCAAGACACCATGCAAGAAAAATACAATCACCTCTGCATGGGGCCTAGCAGTATGGGCCCTAAGCGTGGGAAGATCGTGCATCAATCTCCAGGGCAGAAGCTGCAGTAGTCCAAGTCGAATGGACTTAAGCGAAGATATCCGGCGTCCGAGGATTCGCGGCCAAGGCGGGTTGGGACTCAATCGGCGACAAGTTGCGCTCTCGAACAGAGAATCCAAGTCCTGCAACTCATCCGAGTCCAAGAAAACCTCGGGGAGCTGTTGCAGGTCCGTGGACATGGGTGCGGCAGCAGTCTTCAACGGTTAGGGCTACAACTGGCGTCGTATTTTCAGTCGCTCATCCCGTGTGTCGATAGAAGTTATCTGCGAAACCGTTCGGGTTGCGAGTGCTCACAGCACCTGCTGACCTGGGGTGGGTTCTACAGATTTCGTGGCTTGACCGATGTCTTGCCTTTTTCTCGAGGGCAGTTGCCTGGAGAAGTGTCTGCACAGATCCAAGCAGCTTTGTCATGGGAGTGCTTGTTCAAGATGCTCTTGATGAAGCGTGCAAGGGCGCCGGCTGCACCTTGCTTTGTTCCCATTTAAGATAAAGGGCCGGGGAAGAGCAAGCATCGGCGTGGTGTGGGCATCCTGCGTGCGCTGGTCGCAACTCTGCTGCAATGCCGCCTTCTATCGTGGTTCTTGCCATGTCGCGCGCCTTCACTCCGGCCTTGCTACAGGCGCATGCAAACTGCCCCCAAGGTCGTCTCAGGCGCTCTTGTGATGCGTCAGGAAAATCTTGTAGGTCTTTTCCTTGCTTTGGATGGTGGTTCGACAAAGAAATGGCGTGGAACCATAGCTTGACAAAGCCGAGCTGGGACTAACTGGCTTCACATGGCAGCAGTCAGGCCCTGAGCCCTGAGCCAAACAACTTAACGAAGCCAAGCTTCTGGATGGCATCGTCCTGCAGATTCTATACGAATCGCATGCGGGCTTTGGCTGCAGGTCGTCGGGCTCAGGTCTCACATGATGTTCGCTTCAAGGCCGAAATGTTGAGGTGGACGTACCGTCTGTTTTTCTGGGATTTGTGTTCTGGGAGCAAGAGGCAGGCACCTAGCCACTTAGCTGAAAGTCAGTGCTGAGGGGCAGCGCTTTCCGAGGCAGCGAAAGCAGCAGAAAGGTTGCATCCCCCTAACTGCAGGGGACGCGGAGAAGACGACTCCAACATCCAATCTAAACATCTGCCGAGGCTCTCCAAAGGAAGAGGGCAATCGTTACAAACAAGGTCAAAAAGGCAAAGGCCAGCAGCATGGTGAAGGACCAGGACAAAAAGCCTGCCTTAGGTTAGTTGTTCGTTTCGGCACCTAGTCCTGCGACTTCCAGGGTTCTCCGGAAAGATTCGCCCGGTCAATCACATGCCTACGGCCCACGGCACGTTTTTGCCATGGCCCCTTTGGCCATGCTGCATAAGCCTGGCGGTCTTGAGCCGACTCCGAACTGAGGATGGGCCCCGCCACCACGAGGAAAAGCACCACGGCAGTGGAGAACAGCATGTCTGTGACCTCAGCATCTTTTAAGCATCGCCGGGTGGGTGCCAGCACCAGCCCCTTCAGAGACTATCTGGCATCTATAGCATCCCCTTCGCCAACACACAAGGCCGAAAGCGCTCGAGCAATGCCCTGAGGAGCCGCGATTTGAATTTTGAAAGGCTTCTGCCAAATAGAAGCATTCTTGGCTCGGCCCCTTTCGTCTGGGGCCGATGCGTTGGCCACTTGCGTCCTCCACGGCCATGTGCGGATCTGCACCAGCATGCCTCCGACAGGTCTCATGGAACACATGCGCAAGGCAAGGGGTGTGGGGAAGTTGTTTGCCTGGGACTTTCGGTCTCGCAATATCTGGTTGGGAAAAAACAGTTGCCGGCCTACGAGGAGCACGGCCGCCAGCAAAACGACTTGGACTGTGGGGAAGCTTGCGACAGCAACCGGAATGAGGGCCAGGAGCGTGTTCCTGCCAGGCTGCAGGGATTTCGAAGCTTGGATGGGGACCTGGGCTTGAGGCTTTGGCTTAGAGATCGCTCCGGCTACAAACTCTTGCCCGAGGCAGGTTGGGCTATGCACCTGTGCCGTGCAGGTGCTTTGAAGGATCGGTAGGTGTTCCCCCTTACACGCGACTGATCTCGACTGGAGATGGCAGCTGTGGTGGTACTGGTGATGATGGCGAGGATTTGGCGATGATGCTGCTGTGCTGATGGTGGTAGCGATAAAATACACCAAAGCATGACCTTTTTCGGTAACCCCCATGCGGGTCCTCAGCAGATAGCTGACCTCAGCTGAGAGACCATGCGGCGGCTCTTTCTCCCGTGTCTTGGCACCAGTAAGATCATCGCTCCAACCGTGGCTCGAAAACAAGAACAGACTGGCAGCGAGAGCCTTTCGCATTCACTGAGCTGATGCCAAAAGTTGAGTGCTGTGACGATGGCTTCGGGTAGGAATCTAACGGGGTTGGTCGGAAGTGTGGGTCCAAAGCGGACTGAAGGCAGACTTGGAAACCTGCAACCACAAGCATGAAGCTGTACGCATACCTGGAAGCATGCTGGAGTTCACAATGCAAGATTAATCGGTTCCTCGATGCCTTCAAGACAAACGCAGCCGCAAAAACAGGCTACGCCAAATCTGGGACCCCTTCTCCTGAAATCGATTCCGCGTGCATTGCCAGCTCGCAACATTGATTTTGCACCAGTTCGAAACATCCCTTTAGTTTTGCTTTTTCGGAGTCATTGAAATGCTGTCGAAGCCGCGCCATAGTAATAGCGGCTAGCACCTTGGAGGGTTTGCATGCAGGATGACTTCAGGCACCGAATCTCGGGGTCGTCACATGATGCAGCTCTCAGTCTCGCCACATCCAACTGACGATTCAGTCTTCGTGGATCTTCGCTAAGGTCCAAAGGATCCCCCTAGCCAAGCGCACCTTACTTTTCTTCGATCTTTGCTTCTGCCTCCGAATTCCGCCGTCGCCACCACCACCATCATCATCATCATCATCATCATCATCATCATCATGCTGTGTCGGCTTTGCATGTTACGCATTGGTTGAATGTTGAAGGCAAGTAGGGCATGAGAGCATTTCTGGAGGGATTGCGGTAGCAAGTCCAGGAGCTGTAACAAAGCTCCCACCTGCAATTTTGGTGTAAAGATGCACACCTGATGAATTAGACTTGCATTTACTCGCTCGACAGCACAAGCTGACTTCAGAGTCCTCTAAAGCACTGCGATCGAAGACCCACGCAGACCCAAAATCCACAAGACGCTCCAACCAGCATGCAATCAACATCTGCATGAACTCCGCTCGCCTCGACACCTGCCTACCCAGAATGCCAGGGAGCGAAATCGCTCGAATAGGAATCGGTATCGATTGACGATAAGGAGTCCCTTCCCGGAGCTGATGTAGGACCTTCGCTGTCGCGGGGCTGCTGTTAGCAAAAATCACGCCTCGTGTCCCACTCACAAACCCTTTTGCTGACCTTGTCAGTCCACTTTTGCCAGTACTGTACTGCAGTGTGGGCTTTCAATTGATGCTCATTCGGGCGTTTTTTTGGGTTCAAGTTCTGCAACGAACCGCATCTTGGCCGGCTGGCGACTCTGACCACCTACTTGCGGGGGCCTGAGAAAAGCCGGACAAACAAACACGGCAAGAAACCAGCTGAACAGAGCAGGTGCAAGAGCTTACACCCGATGTCCGAAGGACGCTCGAGAACACAATGATGAAGACACGTGTGTTTGTCTTGCGACTCGATGCTGGCCATCAGCCTGTCATGTCTGCGATAAACTGGATGTGACGGCGCCCTGTCTTGTCACGAAGAAGACAGGAGAGACTAATTTGCAATAACACAGCGTCGAGCAGTTCAAGAGTATTGGAACTTTGCAAGGCCGCCGACGACGGTTTGCTAATTCTGATGCACCGACTTGCTTGTTGTGAGTTCAGATATTCTGAAGCTAGCTTGTCGTCTAACCTGTCTGCTCCTTTATTTACGGAATTTTCTTGCCTTGCCTCGGGCTTCAAGAGGCTGAGGGTCAGCAGATGGCACAAGCCTACGGAGCTTCCAACTGTTTCGACCACTCTCCTTACCTTGACTGCGGTGATGATGCTAGATGCGACTTTGGGCAAGGTGCGGGTACATAATCGTGGCCCGCAAAGCCACGGAAAGAATACCCACTGGGTACATAAGGATGCCGAGAACGCACATGCCCATCAGCGCCCAGTGCTCATCGGACTGGAAGCATATCCTGGCGCCCACGGAGTCCGACCAAGCCGAGATCTCCCAAGGACTGAGTGCCGGGCACACCAGGCTGCGTCTGCATGCTGAAAGTCCCATTCGGGTTGGCGACGCATTGCAATGGCAAAAGCGAGTTGATGGTGAGAGTCATGTACAGTGTGAGCAAGGCCAGGCCGTTCATGTTGATCACATCGTTCGCTGTTACCTGCAACGAAGCACTGCATGCGAGTAGCTGGATATGCCTTTGGACTGGAGATGCTGCTGCACTCCACTCACCCATCTGCGACCCTGACCTCCAGCCCCAGTCGGCTGATGCAAACCTGAAAGCAACCAGATTCAGCGGTTGTTGCTGCGAGACATATCTCGAGGCAAAATCTGCGAAATCAGACGACGCACAGCACTGCAGAGCTCTGCCTACTGTGCAGCGACATGAAAAAAGGCCAAACTTGCAGCATAGTGGCCCACACCAGTATGAGCAATGCTGCAAAAACTGGGTACGCCAAAAGCTGCATGGCAAAGGTTAGCACAGCGCCGTCGTTGGACACGACGCATCCTGCGCTGATTGGACCACTGACCTCTTTCATCGATCTGGTGCCCAGCCTGCGAACCTGAGGGTCTTTCTATGTCTGAAGTTCCCGAATCTTGCAAGTATCGAGCATGCATGTCGTCCTATGTTCAGGAAGTCCACGTCAAAGGCAAAGATTTCAAGAAACTCGATCACGTAGAGTGCAGGTCCTGTACATAGGAAAGGCAGGCTCCAACTTACCTGATGAGCTCCAAACAAAAGCTGCGCATGCGTTTGCAGCACCTCGCCTGCACGACTATTAGCTTATTACGTTGTTTCTTCCTGCAAAACTCGGCATACAAGCGGAACCATCAAATGAAACGGCAAATACAACCTCCGTCCGACACAAGGCCCGCCTGTCCATTGCAAATCCAAGTTCCTGTCAGCAGCACGGCTCAGACGTGTAAGTTCAGATATCGCATTGGAAGGTGCTTGCGATGCCTTTCTAAGGACAAGACTTCGGAATCAACAACTCAGCATCTTCGGTTGGTCAGGTTTGAACCTATTGCAACGGCTTGGTTGGTACATGTTGAGGCATTGTTCAGGCAACTACGTAACCAGGCTACAGAATCCAAGGCAAGCGTGTTTACGATGACTCTGCCCTGGAAACGATGTGCAATTGCGCACAGCCAGTCGTGATGTGAGCAAAACTGCGCGGACACAGGTGTCTCACCTGCTAGACATTGCCTCTATGGATTGGACTTCGGGCAGCCGGTGGCAAGTCGGATTACACGTTAGCGTGTTCGCAGTTCAGGTTGCGGATGAAAAACACCCCGATGTTCACTTGATGGGAGCTTCGGCTGCCCTCGGCGGTGCACCCCTGCACTGCCCGCTCCTCATGGCCGCCATGAGTTGCAACATCAGGATTATCCTTGCGAGGGGTATCGCATGTTGAACATGAACAGCATCTCGCAGATGCCAATCCCTCTGGACTCCCTTTGCTGCAAGAGGCTGGCCGGCGGTCAGGAATACAGTCACCTGGCCAAGCCTTGGCTGAGGATCCGGACATCGATGTACACTTCACCCGGCTAGCAATTGCATGTCGGCAACCCGAGCTGCTCTACCGCGGTCAGGAGATGGATTCAGTCAAGGTGCCGCTGGCGCGCTGCATTGGTGTGGACGAAGGAAAGCAAGACCCCTCCGGTCAGCACTGTTGCCAGCAAAAGCAGCATCGCCGGAAGAACATCCACCTTAGGAAATTCGACTCGCAATCGATCGCAAGGGCCTGGTAAAAAATGCTATTCAGAAAAGCAGAGGCAAGCTTGATGTCCCAGCCACACCCTCACACGGCTTGCATTTGCCTTGCGTTCCTTGACGATGCCACTCCTGCCGCGCTCTGGCACATGCGTGGCGGGCTTGATTCATCAGCATTTGCAGCTTGTGGTGGGGACCTTTGAGTCATGCACAAATTGCGGGGCTTCTGTTCTGTCCTACAGCACCGTTGTGCGACCTGTGCGACCTATGGCAATGGCGCCGTTTGATCCAGCTCTGGGTACCTCTTGGCAGTTGGGGTTGCTGAAATACCTGTCAAGCCTGGCCTCGGACACTCCAATCTACTGCCGTGCGAGAACAAATACTCCCACAAGGCCGGCCGGCCCGAGACCTCTGCCATCCCCAGCCCAAATGCCAACGAAAGCCAAATGATTCTCCCGAATGATCCCCCCTTCAGTCTCTTCGTGCCTTGCAGTTGTTGCAAGCGAGCCCCTCACGGCCATCGGAGCACTCACCCACAGGCCCCTGCATTGCTTAGGGCTCCGAGCTGCACATACGCCGGAGAAGGCAGAAAGTCAGGGGGAGGTCCTTGATTCCGACACCTTGAAATAAGGTTCATAGCTTAG